GGGAAAGAAAACCGAACCTGCCTCTCCTTTGGATCTTTCCAGAAGCACACACCAGCTGTTGCGTTGTACCTTATTCCTGAGTAGCTTCATCTCAGATGCCTTGACTTCAGGTCTCATTCTTCAGATAAGCCAGTTATCTAGAGAAGCAGACTTTCTCCTTAGTTCCCAGGTTATATTTGGGACTAATAATAGTTGCCATTGCACAGATAAGGAGACTGAGAAGTGGGGAGGATGTTACCGCCAGCTCCCTCGTATGCTCAGTGAGGCACCACGTGCCACACCCCGTCCTCGATTGTTAACCGACAGGCTGTGTAAACAAGTTAAATGCCATTTAGGTGGTACCTTATTCGTTAGACCCTCGAGAAGTTTAGGAATAGGAGAACGTTCTATGATTACTTTTGTGTTTACAGGATTGGTTGCCTGTCTGATAACCTTGGCGAGGATGATCCTATTGGCTGGTTTGAGCTGGAGGAAGAGTGGGATGAAGCAGATGTCAAGTTGCAACAGTGCAGGGTTGCCAAGGTAAGTGTCAGTGAGGTGTGGCCTTCGCACACCTGCCCACTCCCCTCCTTTTGTACTGTGTTTATCAAGCGGTTATTGTGTGCCAGCCCTGTGCCAGCACTGGAACCCTGGAGGTGAATCAGACGTGATCATGACCCTCACGGAGCTCCGAGTCTAGTGGGAGACACAGATGTATGAGACAGTGTGATATGGGCTGATAAAGAGACACACAGGGGGCTGTTGCAGCCCGGAGGAACAATATTTACCCAGCCTGGAATTCACTAGGGAAGGCTTCCCAGGAAAGTTGGTGCGATGCCAAGTGTTGAAAGTTGATTAAGCTGTCATCTTTAGCCAGGCTGAGAGGTGTGGAGAAGGGCCTCTCAGGCTGAGGGAGCAGTAAGTCCACAGGCCTAAATGCAAGAGAGATGTCTTTCCATAGCTATGGAAGAAACAGTGATTATCTGGCTACTTAATTTTTTTTAACCTCTGTTGTGAGTCTTAGTAAGAGATTTCTTTTAAATAAGAGAAACAAGAACTATCTTTAGGGCTTGTACATAGTAGGTGCTCAGTAAATATTTGTGCAGCTGAGTAGTGGATTCTGAAAGGCCCTCAACAAAGGAGCTTTCACTATAATAAGCAGAGAGTGTGCATAGAAGTTGGGCTTTGCAAATGGCTTTAGCTTTGAGCAGACAAGGCTGTGTCCTGGGCTCCCAGCACATGGATTACAGGTGATTGGGGGCTTGGAGATGATCCCTTAGGCAGTCATTGACTCTTTTCACCATATAGCTGTTGTCTGTTTCAAAATGACTGTGCCACAGAGCAGACGTCCTTCTCTTATTCGTCCTGTTTTATCCTGTTTTTGCCTTGAAGCAAGAATAGTGCCGTTTCTCTTATTGTGATCTTTCCCCAAACCTGACTTCAGCGTTTGTATTGTCTCTTCCCTGTTTGTTGTAGATGCTGGGCTTATACTTTGTGTCTCCAGTGCTAGGCATAGTGGTACCTCATTAATAAAGTCACAGGAAGACCTGCCCAGAAAGGCCTTTACCTCCCTTTCGTCAGTACCTGGGGCTTCTAAGTCCTTCTCCTCACCTCTGTCTTGTCTTTTTCCAGTATTTGATGGTGAAGTTCCTCTGCACCCGCCAGGAGTCGGCAGAGCGCCTGGGAGTACAAGGCTTGAGCATCAGCGGGTACCTTCGGCCCGCGCGGGCAGAAGCAGAGCAGAGCATTGTCCGTACTCACTGCAGAAAGGGCGTGGAGGAGAGCGTCTGTGGGGCCACACTGCTCCTCAGGACCCTTCAGTTCATCCAGCAGCTCGCCCACGACCTGGTAGTGTTTCCTCAGTTGTTAGACCTCATTCCTTTGGGAAGAGTAACGACAGTGCTTGGGGAAGGGAACACCAACCAGTGAAACCTGGCCCTGCTGAAGCCATGCAGTACGAATGAGGACAGCAGGCATCATGCTGCTGTGATGACGTTGGGAGGCCAAGGGGAGTGAGGCGTTGGGCATTAATGGCATCAGTCAGTGGAAGACGAAGTGGCATGTGGCCACCATCGTGAGGTTTCCTGGGATACACCTACATGCAGATCTTAAAGAGCCCCAGCTTTGGTTGCCAGGGAGACAAAGCACATTTATGGGATTTATGTCTTCTTTAAGTCCTAGAATTATTCCTGAAGTGTACGTGAATTCTGTTTGTTTACTAAAAGTACCAAAAATAATAACAGGATTTTTTTTTAATTGAAATATAGTTGACTTACAGTATTAGTTTCAGGTATACAACATAGTAATCCGATATTTTTATAGATTACACTCCATGCAAAGTTATTATAAAATATTGACTATATTCCCTGTATTGTACATTATATCCTTGTAACTTAAATTTTATTTTATACCTAGTAGTTTGTACCTCTTAATCTCCTTCACCTATTTTTGCCCTTCCCCACACTCCACTCCCCTCTGGTAACCACTAGTTTGTTCTCTGCAACTGTGAGTCTGTTTCTGCTTTGTTATATTTGTTTGTTTATTTCATTTTTTAGGTTCCACATATAAGTGAAAACTTACAGTATTTGTCTTCTCTGTCTGACTTACTTCATTAGGTATAATACCCTCCAGGTCCATCCATGTTGTCACAAATGGCAAAATTTCGTTCTACTTATGGCTGAGCAGTATTCCATCGTATACATATACCGTATCTTCTTTATCCATTCATTTGTTGATGGACACTTAGGTTGCTTCCATATCTTGGCTATTGTAAACAGTGCTGCTGTGAACATTGTGTTTTTGATACTGTGTTTTGATATGAAAAACATTGTGTTTTTGATACTGTGTTTTGATATCAAAACATTTTGATATCAAAAACATTGTGTTTTTGATACTGTGTTTTGATATCAAAAACATTGTGTTTTTGATACTGACTTCTACAGTCACTAATAAAAACACAGTGACAGACTACTCAAAGAAAGGTTCTTGCAGCCATCACTATAGAGAACATGGCTTATCACTCAGGAATCCAGTGGAGCCCTCCCCGTGTGGTATGCAACCTGCATTCTGCTTCAGGGCATATTCAGAGGCTGGTGACTCAATTTGTATATGGATTGTTTGGTCTTTGTTACTGGAGCTCTCCTATCACAGCAGAAAATAGCAAATGAGAGGGAGATGCTTAGGAGTAGCAGAAGCGACAGTAGAATTGATCTTTCAGCCTACATGCAGGGAAGGGTCAAAACATGCTGCAGGATGGTCCTGGACAATAATCATCACCAAGTAAAGATTCACTTACGTTCCAGGTGTAGAATCTATGAAGTCAAGGAGCTTTCATCGGGATGTGTGTGTATGTGTTATGTGTATATATACATTCACGTACATATGTACACACACACACACACACACGTATTTTAGAAAGTTTCACACCAAAAACAGTTGTTCACGGACTTTTTAGTTTACGAGTAAGCATCAGTTATGTTGGAATTTTACACATGCGGAGCCACTTTATCCCTTAACAGTGAGAAGTAAATGAGCCACTACAATATTTCTCTAAATACATGTCTCAATTTTATTTTTTCTGGTCTTTATTATTTTTTAGGTACAGCAGAAGGAAAGTGGCTTAAAATACAGATCTTTTCTGGACTTCGCGGGTCTTGATTTGCAGATCTTCTGGGATTTTTACAGTAAATTAAAGCAAAAGTAAGTCAGAATTTGTTACAAGGTGATAATTGGATATTGATAAGTACAACTGAAAACACTGAGTTTTGCTGTTCTAAATGGACAATTTTTTTCTTCCAAGATTTTTTACTTCCTACTAGTTTATATTGCTCTGATTTGAAAGATTTGGTTATTGTTGAAAATAAACACCTTAAATTTCTACGAAGTGCTTTATTAGGGCCGTGTTTTTGCAAGCATTTTGTCATTTATATTACAACCTTATAATGATAAGCAGATCAAGTATTATAGTATTCTCATTATACTACTGAAGAAACAGAATCAGAGGTGTATTTCTTTGCCCAGAGTGGGCACAGTCAGACAGGGTCTGTGTTTTCAGACTCTACCCAGTTCATTGTTCTTTCCTTTCCACCTTTCTGCCTCTGGTTGGCATTCTTTTTACTGAGCCTGATGCCTAGCGGGGAGAGCCCTTTGTAGATAGTTGTTTCGCTTGGAGGGTAAAAGCAACTTGCATTTTTGCTCTCTGATGTTCTTTGTCTTTCTGTAGCCCAAGGGAAGAATGCGTCTGTGCCCAAACCCTGCTTCTGCAGCTCCTCCAGAGCTGTTTCTCCGTGCTGCAAGGAGACGTGTCGGCCACCTCTGAGGACGCCAAGGCTCCAAGCATGAGCCGTAGGCGGGTAGAGGCCGCCAAGGAGCTCTACACACACCTGTGTGATGGTAGGGATTGGGGTTCTTCTTTACTGTGACCCTGAGCTCGTAGCCTGCAGGGCCTTTTGCTTTAGAGAACAGGGCGTCCTCTGACCATGCAAACCCAGGAAAGGGTTTTCGTCTTTGGAAAATGAGTTTCCGTGATCCTCTTTTGAATCATTACTTGGAGTTCAGGATTTAGTCCCTCTTCAACGACTTCCTCTTGGTTTCTGATATACAGTTGTGTTATATTGAGAGTAATTGCTATCACACTCCAGTCTTTACTTCAGCTGAGACACGGGGATGAGGCTGATAGATTGAGGTGGGGGAGATGATAATATTAATTGAGAATAAAACACATGATCATCTGAAGTTATTTTTAAGGCTTCGCCAAGTTGTGTCTCAAAAGGACAGAAATAATGTAAAAACTGGTACATAGAGTCTTTATTTTTGTTAAATGTAAACAAATAAAAAAATAATTTCTTTACGTTGCCTAGCCTGTACAGAAGTATTTCTTTGCTCTGGTAGCGAGTTTATGGGCTAAAGCCGATACATATATTGTAAGTGAATAGGTGGGATATATTAAAGCTGATTATTCATTTTTATCAGTGGTGGATAGGGTGGATGGAGACTCTGCACCCATGGAAATACTGAAACAAGAAGTCAGGAATACCCTTCTTAATGGGGCTGCCGTCTTCTTTCCTGATCGACAGACCCGGCGGGACCATCTCTTCACCATGATGGTAATTATTTACGTTAAAAGTATGGATTCCATTCCAGAACTCTGTTGGGGTGAAACTTATTAGTCTTTGTTTTCTCTGGATATCCTCAGTTTCAGCTTCCCAAATGTGTATTTAATACTGTGTGCAAAGTTTTGTGTGGGACACAGGTATCTAAGGACATAGCGCTGTACTCAGGGTGGGGATGAGAGATAATCCTGACCTCCATTTTAGAACCTGTTGAATCACAAAGGGAGAGTTTAGTTTCCTTCAGCTTTATGACATGCCTACAACCAAGTGTTCTTTTTAACATTTTAACCTTTTATTTAATATTTATTTTTATTTATGTGTTTATTTTGGGTTTTAGTTGTGGCACATGGGATCTTTCATTGCGGCGCATGGGCTCTTCGTGGTGATGCGCGGGCTTCTCTCTAGTTGTGGTGCACAGGCTTCTCTCTGGTGGCTCATGGGCTCCAGAGTGTGTGGGCTCTGTAGCTGCAGCATGAGGGCTCTCTAGTTGTGGCGCGTGGGCTTACTTGCTTGCAGCATGTGGGATCTTAGTTCCCCGACCAGGGATCAAACCTTAGTCCCCTGCATTGGCAGGTGGATTCTTAACCACTGAGCCACCAGGGAAGCCCCCATTTTAACTTTTTATTATGGGAAAATTAAACACAAAACTAGACTAAATAATACATATGATGAATCCCTCCAACCCCCCAAGTGTACTCATCACCTAGATTCAATAATTATAAACTTAGGCTAATCTTGTTTCATCTGTAATATACATCACCCACTCCCACCCCCCATTATTATTTCAGAGTAAGTCCCTGACTTATTTTATTCATAAATATTTCAGTTTATATCTGTAAAGAAAATACAACCAAGTTTTAATCTTCCCACCCCAAATTATGATTTATCCTAGGAATGCAAGGATGGTTTAACATTAGAAAATCAGTCAGTGAAATCAGAGAGGAAAAAAATCATATTGATAAATGCAGAAAAAATTTTAATAAGATTAACTTCTGATGATGGTTCAAACAACAAAACCCTTAGCAAACTTGATATAAAAGGGAAGTTCCTTAATCTCTTGGAGGGCATGTATCCAAAACCTACAATAAACAGTGTACTGGTCTTTGGGACACTGACTCATCCCTTCCAAAGTGAGGTATAAAACAAGGATGCTTACTGTCACTGCTTCTCTTTGATAATATATTAGAAGGCCTAGCCAGTGCTGTAGGACACGGAAAAGAAATTTTAAAAATAACAATCAGAAAGAATAAAACAAATAATCATTATTTGTCTGTTTAGACAAACAACTATTAGAAGTACTGAGAAGACTTTGATGAAGAAAACAAGATGTAGCATTTAAAAGGGCATTTCTGTATGTAACAGCTAATTAGTAAATGCAATAAAAGTGCCCTGTCAGATGCATAAAGCCCCATAGAAGCAAAAAAGGGAATAAAAGAAGCATAAAATGTGATGCCAAATGACTGCAGTCTATTTGGGGGCACTGCCACAAGGAAAAACTGACCCTATACGCAATAGGTGTTTAGAGGAGAATCTTGTTCAGGTTAAGTGATGGAGGATTTCCGAGAGGAGGGAGGATCTTTGGTTGTTTTCAGCTCTATGCAAAATTTGCATATCAGCTTGAGGGATCAGGTTTTTTTCTTCTGGTTTTATTGAGATTTATTGACATACAGCATTGTATAAGTTTAAGGTGCACAGCATAATAATTTGACTTACATACATCGTGAAATGATTATCACAATAAATTGGATGAACATCCATCATCTCATATAAATTAATCTCAAAATTAAAGAAATAGAAAAAAAATTTTTCTCCTTGTGATGAGAACTCTTAGGATTTACTCTCTTGACCACTTTCATATATAACACGCAGCAGTGTTAATCACATTTATCATGTTGTACGTTACGTCCCTTGTATTTAGCTTATAACTAGAAGTTTGTACCTTTTGACTGCCTTCATCCAGTTCCTCCGACCCCTGCCTCTTATCTCTTTTTCTATGAGTTTGTTTTTGAATTACAATTGACCTGCAGCACTACATTATTTCCTGTTATACAGCATAGTGATTCAATATTTCTGTGCATTTCAAAATGATCACCACGATAAGTCTATTTTATGATATGTCACCATATGAAGATATTACATAGTTATTGACTATATTCCCCACACTGTACATTTCATACCTGCGACTCATTTAATCTGCAGCTGGAAGTTTGTACCTCTTAATCTCCCTCATCTATTTCTTCCCTCTTTCCACCCCTCTCCCCTCTGGGAACCACCTGTTTGTTCTTTGTATCTATGACTTTGTTCCTGTTTCGTTATGTTTGTTCATTTATTTTGTCTTTTAAATTCTACATATAAATGAAATCATGCAATATTTGTCTTTCTCTGTGTGACTTATTTCACTTAGCATAATACCCTCTAGGTCCATCCATGTTTGTCACAAGTGGCGAGATTTTATGGCTAATATTCATTCATCGTGTGTGTGTGTCTGTCTGTCTGTCTGGCTCACATCTTCTTTATCCATTCATCTGTTGATGGGCACTTAGGTGGCTTCCATATCTTGGCTATTGTAAATAATGCTGCAATGAATATAAGGGCGCATATATCTTTTCTAATTAGTGTTTTGGTTTTCTCTGGATAAACATCCAGGAGTGGAATTTGCTGGATCATATGGTAGTTCTGTTTTTAATTTTTTGAGCACCCTCAAAAGCCATTACTGTTTTCTATAAAGGCTGCACCAATTACATTCCCACCAACAGTGCATGAGGGGTTCCCTTTGGATCAGTTTTTACTTCGTGAGTTTTAACCTTTGACAGTATCAGCTGACTCTGAATTGTGGACGAATCTCTGTCCCACTTGTTTGCTGGAAGCATATATCAGGCAGCTGAGCAAATGGTTTTTTTGTTAGCTCGTGTCCCACACAGAAAAATAGAGGACATGCGACCTCTTGAATGACATTGCTGTGTGTTAGTAAAGCAGCTCATTAACTTTTCCTTTGCCCATCTATCTGACAGCAGTGGTAAGGTCTATATTTTTTTTCCCTTCTCGTGCAGATGAATTGAACTGCTGTCATTTGTGACCATATCTTATCTCTCCCAGCCTCTTGTGCCAGGCAGTGCCCGGGTCTTAAATCCTCTGGAAATCTCCGCCAGTGCCTTGCATAGCAGTAGGTGTTCAACACATTTATTGAATTAAGAAAAAAAGAAAGTGCCCCCAGAGTAACCCATAGCCTCATCAGGGGGTGTGATTCCTTTAACTGTCACCGTAGGCTGTTTGGACTTATACAGAGAAAGCTTAGATCCTGTTTAAAAAAACAAACAGAAAGCTCACAAGAAAGGCACTCTGTCTCTTTCCCCTCCTCTTGGGATGGCCTGCCCAGGGATGAAAATAGACATCTTTTGGAAGTCACCTTCCTAAACATTTGCATCAAGCTTTCCTGCAGGAAGGCTTGAAAATGTCAGCTTCAGCAATGAACAGAAGCAAACCTGCTGTCTCTTGGTTCTGCTCCCTCTTCGCGCTAGGCCAGGTCTAAGTTGGGCCCGTGAAGTGGTCTGCTGACCCTGGCTTTCCCCATGTTTGGGATCAGTGGGCCGTGGCATTTTGTGCTGCTCTAGGGCTCTAGAATGTTGTGGAATAGATTTCCTGAATCCGCAGTGTCTTGTTTTCTAGAAGAATGTCACTGAGCAGGAACACAAGCAGTCCCTGCAGCTCACTTTCCGCTCACTCTGCACGTATTTTAGGTAAGTTTACAGCTCTTTTCAGTTGTCCAGTATTTTAGATCTTTGCAACATTGTTTTCCTGAGCTCTTCCTTCCTTTCATGTGCTTTTGGAGTAACCAAGTAGTTCCCTCACTCAGCCAGGTTTCTAGAGTGAGGTATCACTAGACTCAGAAGTGACCAAAATAGTGGTAGAATAATAGTCTTGTCAGGAGTTTGCTCCAAGTCCCAGTCACTGTAAGACACTTTAGAGTTGAACCCATGGGGAATCTCCTTGAATGCTTCAGTTTCTACATGATTTTTGAAGACAAAAAAAGAAGCTGAAGGAGTTTGGTGTCCAGTCCTGAAGTCTAAAAACCCAGATACATTAAAGCCCAAGCCCAGCTGCAGAGGCACAGAGTGGTAGTTTAGCAAAAATTGTGCTGGGAGGGGTGACATGGAGACCATTACCTGCTTTGACTCCCAAAGAAGCTCATGGGCCTGTAGGTTGCATTATTAGAGGTATAGACTCTTGAAGGAGGGAGGGGACTAAAAGCCTGAGGAACTCTCTGCAGGTCAGACTATACCTGGTATGGAGGCCAGATTTAGAGGACTGTATAAAACGTCTTCAGAATCGAGAATCAAAGATGATGAAAAAGCCTGGGGCTCCTGTGAAGAACCTTTGAAGACACAGGGAATGTTTAGCCTGGATTGTCAGATTAGCAGTCATGAGATTAGGTGTATTTCCTGTTGGTGGCCAAGGTGATTTATTCATCATATTTATTCCCTGGAATCTTTTCTAAGGACTTGAAGATTTATGGGCCTGTGCTTAACATAAGTACATGTGGACAGACAGTGGCACAGACCCAGCTGGGACCCTGGCCTTTTCCTGACCCAAACTCCTCACATCCCATAGAACTGACAGTGAAATCTTGCTAGGTTCTCTTTTGGAACCTTTTGAGATAGACAGCGTGAAAATCCCCTTCCTGAAACAAGGTGTCATGACTAATTTGTGTCCTTTCAGTGATAAGGATCCAGGCGGCCTTCTGCTGTTACCTGAGAAAGGCGACCTGGCCGACATGGACATCAGTGAAGTGCTGGCGGTCATGAGCACTCTGCTCTCTGTTGCTGCTCGAGAGGTAACTGATGCCGCTCTGTTTCCTTTGCCTCTTGCCTTTAGGAGACGGGGTAGGGCAGTCGTGGCTCCTTCCCCTTTAGCCCTCATTTACAGCATGATTGTAACTTTGCCTACGACGGTCACACACGAGCACAGAGGTTTCCCCCGTCTGCCTTTGCTTCTAGTTAGCAGCTCCTGCAAAATGAGCGAGAGGATGCTTCCCTGCCCCTTGGTAGTCAGCCAGCAGTAAATACCTGAAAGTGCTCATTAAGACTCCCTTTGAAAAGGAGGAATGGGTATTTACTGAGTGCCCTTGTGGTGTCAGTCAGTGAGCTCAGCACATAGTCATATATTTGTGGTATGAATTCTGTGGAAAAAGCCTTTAACTTTTTTTAAAATTTAAGATTACTTAGCAAACCCACAGGCTAATCAAATCTGAAAAGATGGTCTCTTTTTTTCTGTGCTAATGATATTTTAAATTTTTTTTCTTTTCTTTTTTTTTTTAACATGAAGGATTTGTTTCTCAAAATGTAGTCCATTTGTCACCTGGATCAGAATTGCCTGGTACATTGTGGCAAACATTTGGATTTCTCGGTCCCACCCCAAGCTACTGATTTAGAATCTCTGGGGGTAGGGCTTAAAACTCTGCATTATATCAAGCACCCCCAGAGATTCTAAAGTAGCGGAAGCCCTGTAGTAGGGGACCAAGCACCTCCTCTCTGGATAAAATACAGGAACCAGGGAGTTAGAGGAGATGTGGGGAGAGTGCAGACCACACCCTTGATGTGTTTAATGACGTGGCTGAACTTGGTGTCTTTAAATCTCTTATGTTTTTGTTAGTGCTTTGCAGTTTTCAGGTTGCTTCTGGAGCCATGATTTCGTTCATTCCCAGCTGCCTGCGGTGATAGGCCACTCAGCACTTACCCCCCTCCCCCCCGCCATTTGCTCACAGGGATCTTAGAGAGCTTTCAGTGTGCTGGGTTGTCATTTGTAGTGTGCTGGGTTGTCATTTGTAGTGTGCTGGGTCACACTGGACTGGCCACTATTTAGACCTAATATTAGTTTAAATTCAGGGTTATTTTTATTTTACTGTGATGCCTGTGTTCTTTAAGGTAATGTATTGACTTTATAAGCCTTAATTGTTTTTAATCAATGCTCTATTTTCTGCTGTCACATTAATGTTCTCTTTGGTTATTTTCTCCTTTCTGTCTTCTTTCCAGACCCATCTCTTGAGTCTCCCTTAAAAATCTTACTCCAGCCTACTGCCCATCAGTTTTTGCTCTGCCCTGGTTAGCCGTGTCTCATTCTCATCTGTTTTTATTTCTGCCATTTCGCACACTTTCCCTTTCTCCTGGAGCTCATCTAAATTGTATGTTTCCCAGACCGCTGATTTAAGTTCTACATTCCCATCATCAGTGCCCCTGGGGAGAAGACTCCAGTGTTCTCACTGGTTTTTGTGGGTGTTAATTCTGCCTCCTGCGTGAGTCGATATGTGCTGGAGCCAGGACTAAAAGCCAGGCTATTTGACTCCTAGTCTTGTCCCCTTTCCACTCAGTCAGGTGTGCTGTGAGTTGTACGTAGAGAAGTGAGATAGCATTTGTCCAAGAGAATTCCTCATAATCTTCACTATTTGGGGATCACATGATTCTCTTTTCTTCCCTGTCACTTTCCTGTGATACAAAGGAAGTTAGAAACTTCACCGAACCTCCCAGGCCAGGGATCACTGCAGCCATTGAGATATTTCCTTGAATTATCTTTTTGAATAAGAAACATTTATGGTTGTACTAAAGAAGAAGAGTTAGATTTAAAAAAACTTTTTTTCAAGGTGGTCAGAAATGTACCTAGTCTGAAAAATTTCTCGCAAGTCTGTTAATTCAGTAGAGATCCACTAGAAGCCTGCTGCGTGCCGGGCCCCGTGCTAGGCACGGGGGTACAGTGCCAAAAGAGCACGGTCTTGAGGAGCAGGCAAACATGTGATCAGTCATAATACAGTAAGGGCCTAAAAGCGTAGGTCTTGTGGGTACAGAAGAGCACACCTGACCCTCTCTGGTGGAAGAAGGCAGTAGAGCTTGGGAAGGGCTTTTTGGAGGAGGTGGTGCTGGAGCTCCTTGTGAGCTCACGAGCAGAGTCTGATCAGGCATAGAGGAAGGGGTGTTCTTAATAGAACAGCATATGTAAAAGGCCAGTGACAAGATGGGGAGGAGCAGGTATTTGAAGAGGAGACTGCTAACGGCTAGGCTTCGGACATGTTGGGTTTATGGTTCTGGGAGGACTTCAGGTGACAGTGTCTGGTTGGACCCTCAGGAGCTGAGTCAGTGCTGGAAATGGAGATTTGCAGTCATTCACCAGCAGGTGATAGTTGAAGCCATGAATGTCAGTGTTCTCTTATCGCCTTTGGGCATCTGTGTGGAAAGGGCAGCCAGGAGAGTAAGAAGGAGAGGCAGGAAGAAAGTCAGGGGCCACAGAAGCTGAGGGAGGAGAGAGCTTCAAGTAGGACCGTGGTTCGCACAGCTCCCAGGGCTGAGGTTAAGTGGGGAGGCTTTGCTCTTTAGGTGGCAACTAATGCCTTTGAGGAATGGCTTCAACGAGTGGTGGGTGCAGGAGGGGTAGAATGGCAGGGAGGGGAAAGGCAAGCACAGCAGGTGCAGGCAACTTTTTCAAATGGAGCACATGTGCAAAAATATATATATTGATGGACAGTTTAAAGAAACAACTATCCATTTTAAGAAGTGGAACATTACCAATATTTTTGCAGTCTGCCCTTCCCTGCCCAGTGCCCTTCCATGGCTCACCTTCCTCCTTCCTCATCAGAGGTAACCACCATTCTGAAACTTACATTCATCATTTCCTCGTTTTTCTTTCTACTTATCCCTACATAGCAGGCTTGTTTTCCCTGGTTTTGGTCTTTAATGGAATCATGTGGCATACAGTCTTCTGGGACAAGTTTTTTACACCCAACAGCATTTTTAAGATTCATGCATGTTGATGTGTATGCTGCAGTTCTCCCCCCCCCCACCCCCAACCCACTGGTACACAATATTCCCCTTATGAATCTGCCATAATTTATTTATCCATCTTACTTTGGAGGGAAGGGATAGTTGGGTTGTTTCCAGTTCGGGGCATTTACATGGAAGTAATGACTCTTCAGAGAAACTGGAGAATAAAGATGATGGTTAGAGAGCCTTAGTGGGATAAAAAATTGTCTTTTAAAATGGGAGAGATTTGATTGAAGGCTCAGGGGAAGGAGCCAGAGAGAAAAGGAATTATTGAAGGTGTGTGTGTGTGTGTGTGTGTGTGTGTGTGTGTGTGTGTGTGTGTGTGTGAAAGAGAGAGAGAGAGAGAGAGAGAGAGAGAGGGAGAGAGAGAGAGATACCATGGGGTAAGGTTCCTAAGGGGTGGAACGGGGAACGTGGAGTCCAACATCTATAAAGGCTCTGAACAGCTGGAGGGCAAGAGAGGAGTTTTCATAATACCCTCTTTCTTGGTCACTTTTGGGTTGAAAGCTCTGTCATAAATATTCCCCACTTCCCTAGAATATCTTTGTGTCTGACAGCTGCTCTTTTACAGAATGCCCCTGGCTGTGTTCTGTGAATGGCCTGTTGTAAACACTTTCCATTTCTCTCCTCCCTTGTAGTGTGAGCTGTTGATGGTCGATGGGGCCCAAGGGGAGGTGGGCTCTGTGCTCTTCTCCCTGTTCTGGTCTGTCCAAGGCAGCCTCCTGTCCTGGTGCTACCTGCAGCTGAAGAGCACGGACTCTGGAGCCAAAGATCTTGCCGCTGACCTTATTGAAAAATGTGAGTTTCAGTACAAAATCCATGAAAACAGATAGGTGTTTGGGTTTGACTCTGTGTGTGCTCTCTTCTTAGTACCTCATGCATAGAACAGAGTGTGTGTTGTTTTCATTTCATTATTACAAATCAGATCTGTCTTTGGGTTGTTCTTTTCTTCTTAAAGTGGAATTCTGTAGCATGTCTTTTTGCTCAGTTTCCTGTCTGAATGAAGTGGTATGCCTGAGTGTTTTTATTGTACCGTTGGGTCGTTTCACGGCCTAAACATTGCCTCTGCGGTCATACAGCACTCTTAGATGATACTATATTCTTCAGTAGAGTCTGTCTTCCCTGTTTTAATCAAATTATCCAAAAAAGAGTCTTGAACTTTAAAAATCTAAGGTACATGTGAGCACTTCTGTGATCTTTGCTGGTACTGAAAATATTCAGATTCATGTCCCGTTAACCCACAGAAAATTGTATGAAACCCAACGGGTTCTGAGAATTTGTATGTAGAAAAATCAGTTCCATCAACCTTGGTCTCAGCAGCCATGTCAAAAATGCTTACAGTATTGAGTCTTGGCTCCTCAAGTTTGGCCTGTCACGTGGCATACCTAGAGGCGGGCCCTTTGTAAACAAAGGGAGAGGCAGACCAGCAACTGGGTTGGTCAGCCATGTACCTTCACTTATAAAAGGGATATCTCCACCCCATTGAAAAGTAGCAAAGACAAAAAAAAAAAAAAAAAAAAAAAAAAAAAAAAAAAAAAAAAAAAAAAAAAAATCACTCACTTTAAAAGTAAACTTTTACTGAGATTCGCAGTGCTTTTCCCTCCCAGAGGAAAACGTTTGTATGACACTGAAATGGTCTCATGGTCTTCTCTGACGGGGAATTCCCCCCACAGCTTCTGTGACCCTCTCCAGCTTTGTCCTTGATGATGACCAAGCAAGTGATGTTTCTACCATGTAAAATATTAATTATTTTCTTTATGTTTTGGCAGATGTGGGACAGTTTCTGGCACGCATGAGAGTGATTTTGGAATCCCTTTTGTCACAATATAGCGGGAAAACTGTAGTAGAAAAATTATGTAATTCGGTGTTTTCAATGGCAGCTCGTCAACTGGTAAGACAGAGTGGCAGCCATTTGTAAGGGGTGGGAGGGGGCAGAGTCTGAGGTGGACGCTAAGTGCTTCGTTCATCTTCCTGTAGGTGATCTTTCTGCTGGACTTTTGCACATTAGATATTTCACACTGCACGCTCTTGAGAGAGTTCAGTGCCCTGACAGAGCTGTTGAAGGAGCTCTGCAGTGACCCTGATGGAGGACTGAACAAGGTATCTCGAGCTGGCATTTGAACCTGCTTTGTATCCCCTCTTAGGAACGCTGTGACCATACGTAATGAGACATACCACTCAGTTACAGGTCTACACGAATAAGTTACCTCTAGAAGAGCCCCCTCTGTTTTATCAGTACTTTATCGGTGTCTATCAACTTTATCAGTGTTGGTTTTGACAGCAAGAATAAATGCCAGTCTGAGCTGATTTGGTATGGTCAGCATTAGACAGGAGACACAGAGGAAGCTGTACATAGATTAATTTAATTGTTCTATACCACATGAAATTATATAAAAACCATGTAAATGATTAAACCAAATTGAAGTCCAGAAGAGAAAATCTGTGTTGAAAGGCAAATTAGAGGGTTGGGTATTTAAAAGCATTTTCTCCCTTACTCAGCCTTACAGGACAAAATGTTTTTTCACTGTCTTGTTTGGATCTCACAACTCTGTGGGAGTAGAAGGGGCATATATTTAAAAGCCTATTTTAAAGACAAAAAAAGCAAAGACTGAAAAAGGGATGGGGAAGACATAGATGGGCTCGGGTTTGCCAAGGTCCGAAATAGGAGTGTAAGGCCTTTCATGCTAGTACTGGAACTTCATGCTAGTACTGGTTTGTAAGAAATAGTTCTTACAGATAGTCATAGTTAGAAAAATAAAAGCTAATCAGAGTTACTGTAACGCAATAGAAACCCCGTGTCTTCTCTGCTGAATAAATGTATGTTGATCGATATGTATAGATGGGAACATCAGGTATATTTTTAGCCTGTGTGATGATTTGTGTAGGGATGTCAAAGGCTACTGTCCGGGGCACTGATGCACAACAGTTTCCTGTGTATGGCTGGATGTAGAGTGATGAAAACCCTTCTTTCTTAACTCGTTTGTCTACATAGCTGGATGTGGAGACTTGGCAACAGGAATGTCCTGTGGTGTTACATACGTGGACCAAGGAGTCTGCTCACAACTATGAAAATAACTGCCATGAGGTGTCTGTCTTTGTTAGCCCAGGGGCAACCTATTTTGAGGTGGAATTTGATGAGAGATGTGAAACTGAGAAAAGGTACAACTCACCTGTTCTTTTTCCCCAAGCAATAATGGATCAGAAATGAGAGACGGAAAGTGATAAAGATTATGCTTTCACAGGTATGATTATCTGGAATTTACCGACGCTAGAGGTGGGAAAACACGCTATGACACAAAAGTCGGCACTGATAAATGGCCCAAGGTGAGTGATGTTCCCAGAGAGCCACGCGATACTTGCTTCTGTGTCAATTCTTCTCCTTTTGTCAGCCTCAGGCGGTAATAGAGATATGGTCTTTGAAGGGAAGCACTTACATTACACTTTCGTAAAAGGAAGTGCTCATAGCAGAGTTCAGTACCTGTTTTGTAAATAAAGTTTTTTGGGGATACAGCCGCGCCCATTTGTTTGTTTCATCTGTAGCTGCTTTGGCACTTTAGTGGTGGGGTTGAGTCATCGCAACAGAGGCTGTATGGCGCAGAAAGTCTAATGATTTACTCTCTGATTCTTCATAGGAACAGTTTGCCACCCCTGGTTTGTATCACATTGTCAGAGTAAATGGGGAGTTGTAATCCTTAGCAAGAAAGGGCCAGTGAGTCCAGGAGGGCCCTGACCATGGTGATGAAAGCCAGGATCTCCCTCACAGTTGGGGCCACATGGTCTCTGGGGCTGGGAAGTTAAGTGCTGCTTCACTGTTGACCTTCTCTCTGCTGTCAGCGGTCTTGGTTGCGAGCAGAGGAGCGGGCAGCATGCTCTCTGGCTGAGTAGGTGGTGGGCAGATGGGCATCTGAGGTTTAGAAAACCGACCAGCCGTTTTCAACTTTGCTTCTTCATAAGATGCAGTTGTGAATTTTCTGTTTCAGTCACTCCGTTATACATTTCTCCTTTAGTAGTTTTGGTGGGAGTGATAAGATATAATGGTGAGAATATAGACCTTTTTTTTTTTTTTTGGCCGCGTGGCACGCAGGATCTTAGTTCCCTGACCAGGGACCAAACCCATGCCCCTTGCAGTGGAGGCGCGGGGTCTTAACCACTGGACCTCCAGGGACCAGTTTTATATTTAGACCAATCTTATATTTAGACTTTTTTGAGCCGCGAAGAACATGCTTATTACTGAAATGCTACCTTCTCTAATCAGTTTGACCACATGACTATTTGGTTTGTCTCTAGAAAGTGACCTTTAAGGCTGGTCCCCGGCTGCAGTTTCTCTTTCACTCTGACAGCAGCAACAATGAGTGGGGCTACAAATTCACCGTCACTGCCTATGGCCTGCCTGATGTCGCCGTGTCTTGGGGCTTGGATTTACAGCTCCTTGTTTCCCGGCTGATGGGACGCCTCGCTTCCCAGTGCATGGCACTCAAATCCGTGCATCGTAAGTCCACAGACCATCCCTTCCCTTCTTGCTAACAGCCACATTGAAGAGCAAGGTGGTACCCCTTTCGTGTAAGTTGTCTCCACATAGCAGCAGAGCAAAGGGGATTGATAAAATTCCCTTTCAGTTTCCTTTAAACTAAACCAGAATAAGATGTTTACTTGACACCATTTTCATCAAGTTGCTTGACTCAGACACTGGGGCACATTGCCAAGGAAGGACATGGTGGATTCCCTGTCTGTGGAGGACAAGTGGGGAGGGAGCTGAGTTTTGGCAGCATTGTCATCATTTTTTTGTGAGTCAATTTTGGTATACTCCCACAAGAAGGCAGAAATATGGAATAAATTAATTGTATATTCTCTCATTATTTGAATATTTGTGTGAATATGTATAAATATGTGAACATGGATTTAGCCTTAAAGTGATTTCTTCAACTTATTTGTTAAATTCATCCAAGGATGAGTGAAACAAGAAATAGAATGAAACTTTCTAGTGTACTTTATTTCTATGTCACGTCTTGAGTTTTTCCTCACTTTAAAAGTAAAATATCGTACAAAAATTGCATAATGGAAAAAAGCCAAGGGGAAAAGCCATTTTTAACCCTAATACCCAGAGATAACTATTATTAACATTTTAATCTATTTCTATCTAGTCTTTTCTCTTTGTTTATTCATAAACACGTATATGGTGGGTATTTAATTATTGCTGTTATTTTTTTTACAAACTTAAGTTTTCGAATTGTGAACATGTCCCCATAATGAAACGTTTCTAAATGGTCTCCTGTTATACCCTAGAGGTAGTTCCCGTTCTGTTTTCAGCTTACTACACGGGTTAAGTCATTTCAGAGGCACCTGTAACTGAAGCTGTCGTAGAGAATGGTAGCATTTCAGGACTGCCTGATGGCTTGGGTTCACTGGGGTATTTGTTTATGAAGTATCACAACCACATTCTGCTAAATGTGTGTGAATTCCCTCCAAGTCTTAATGCCCAAGTTTTTTTAAAACCTTTTCTTCACCAGTTCAAAGGTTCTCAGTATATTAAGGAAAAATAGAACTCTCATCAGCCTTCTTTTTTTTCTCTTTCCAGAGTTAGGAAGTAACATGGCAATACCTCAGGCAAAAATGGCATTAGTCCTAAACTCCCCCTTGTGGAAACCTGTCTTCAGGCACCAAATATGTCCAGAGTTGGGATTAGAAGCAAGCTGGCCCACTCACCCACCCCAGGATAATAAGGAGGTATTTATTCTTCTCTTGTCTTTGTATTTGGAATGGGAAATGTTTACTAATATTTATTACTTTAAATTATAAACGTCTGTGTTTGTATCTTATCACCCCCACTAAGCTGTTAGCTCCTCGAGGGCAGAAACTATCCCTTGCTCACTTGGGGTCCCCACTGTGCACCACAGGGGCCAGTGTAACGGGTCTTCAGAAGTATTGACTGACTGACTCTTCAGTGATATACAGTAGGTGCTCAGTAAATCTCTCTTGATGGAGTTATTAAACAAACAAGTCGAGTCTATTTCCAGTGCCCGCTGAGTCAAACTTCAGAATAAATGATTTATGCTGTACTTATTTGTTCTCCATGGAACAGTAACACATTATTTAGGCTTATAATAATTAAAAACGAAAGAAGTTTGCCCGCTGTCTCTTCTTCATCTCTCCGCCCCTCTCTCTCTGCTCTACTACTTTTCCTCCCTTCTTCCTGCCTCCCCCCTCCCCAGTTCTTCAGTAGTTAATTGCTGAATCCAGGGGTTCTTGCTCAGCTTCTCCTCTCCTTTGCCTCTCTGCTCCTTCTCTTATTCCATGGCAGCCCACTGTCTTCTCTTAATCTCACCACTCCATCTACCTCCTTTATTGACCTCTCTTCTTCCTCCTTCTCTGAAGAGTAGGCTTCATGTGGGCTTTCTCCCCTTTCCTGCACCCCACCAAGACTTGATGCTGTCTCCTCTCTTCTGTTGTCATATCTGTGTGAAAAATACCTAAATGTCAGTTTCCAGCCCCGGTTCTTCTCTCAGGCTCCAGTCGTGTATCCCCATCTTCCTGTCAGGTATTTCCATTTAAGTGTTCTGATTCCCTTTAACTCAGAGGTGTAAAACCAGGACGTCTCCCTGGACTTCTCGCTCCTGTTACTGTCATTATTGTTTCCCAGGCATTGAACCACTGCTCCCTGGCATCACCTTTATCCCCACCTTGTTCTCACCTTTCCTGTCCAGTCAGCTGCAAGCCCTGTGGCTTCTTCCTTGAGATGTTCACCACTGTCTGTTTCCTCTGTCTCCATCTTTATTCAGACCCTCATCTTGCACTTGCATTGTTACATTGGTACCTACCAAGTTTTTTTTAATCACTGCATTATCTTGTCATTCCACTGCCAAGCACCATTAATGGCTCCCCGTTGCCCACAGGGTGAAGTCTAAACTCCTCAGTGTGACAGTCAAGGCTCTCTACAGTCTCCTTTCACCTTACCTATCTGACTCTAGTTCCCACCACTCCCCAGCTGAGACTTCAGGCCAGGTCAGTCTCCCCACTGACTCTTAACTTTTGCTCATGGTTGTGTTCTCAGGGCCAAACCTGCCCAGTCTTCAGGGTCCAGTCCAAAGCCCATCCCCTCCAGGAGGCTTTTCTTAGTCACTTTAACCTGCCAGGAGCTCTCTCCTGTGAATTCTCAGCACTGGGTGTCCCTTCTAGGCATTTGGCACTTGATAATCTCATACTTTACAGTAGTGGTAGTTTTAATGCTTTTAATGTTTTATTTATATTTACCTTTTTTTTTAACCCATGTATCTGTCTGATCTCCCCCAAGTAGATTGAAACTTCCTGAGAGTAAGCACCGTGTTTTATACTTCTGCTTTGGCCTAGTAGGTGTTCAGTAAACTTTATTTTTTGAATGAATGCATTAAACATGATGGTTTTTCTTGTTGTTGTTGTTCCCAGGTTAAGAACATCCCTGATGATCCCTGCCACCAATTTCTTCTTGACTTTGCACAGTCAGATCCTGCCCAGAACTTCTGTGGGCCATATTCAGAACTTTTCAAAGGATTCATACAGGCATGTAGAAAACAGGCCCCAAAGACAGATATAGTTGCTGGTTCCACTATTGATCAAGCTGTGAACGCCACCTTTGCTGCTCTGGTGTATCGCACTCCAGATTTATATGAGAAGCTGCAAAAATATGGTAACTTATATTACAGGGAATGTTTTTGATCTGAAGGCCAATTGCTAAGTTTTAAGAAAGCTTATCTTAAGTGAAAGTTTTAAAATATTTTGGAACATAAACATACTTCTACAACTATAGACTTCATCTTGTCAGTCCTACTTTGCCAGTCAAAAGATTTGTGACCAATTTATAGTTAGCAGATTGCAGTATATAGCAAGTAGCCTTGAGTTTCCTAATTAGCAGGTAATTTGTCTTTATCCAGAATTCTCATGGAAAACTGCCGAGAAGTTTAATGGAAAGAAACCTTAACTTGGGTTGTAGTCCCAGCTCACAAACTAGAAGTTGTGCAGCTTCAGGGTAATCAGATAACCTTTCTGCACCTGAGTATCCTTATCTGTACAGTTTAGAGTTGATTAGCTCTAACATGCTAAGAAATTCCAGTTTATACCTGAGATGTTTAGGTAATTGAATGTGCTAATAACCAAGGAGGAAATGCAGGTATTAACTCCATCTTTAGACTTGCAGCTTCTTTGTAGCATCATCCCTGCTTGGTTTCCTTTGTTGATAGCCTGCTCCTTGCCATTTCTTTTCCTCATGTCCCCCAGGGATACCATCTCTGTGTATTTACTATAAGTGTAGACTGCAGCCTAACAGGACCCACAGAGAGGGAGGGTCTCTCCCTACGCATAATCTTTCAGGGGAAAAACATTTCAAATCCAACGTAAAGACAAGTTATGGGCTGTCCCAAGCGCTTTGGCAGGATATGTGTTCTTTCCATGGTGCTGATGAAAGAAGCAGGAACAAATGCTTCCTTTCTTAGAGTAGGTAATTGCTTATTGCTCTAATTATTATTATTATTGATATTATTAGCACTGCTACCTTTATTGCTTAGTCCTGTGTGTCCCACATTGCAGAGTTTATTTCCTGATGTCCAAATCATCTCAATTACTCCTTCAAATCTTAATATTTCCTTTAAGAAGCTGCTCAAGTAAATAACACTATACTGAAGCATGAGTGGTTTAAGTAAACAACTGTCACATGGGAGAGTATATTTCTGCTGGGGATGAGGGGCCTGCTTACCTGTATGGTTTGGGGAAAAAAAATTCGGTACATGTTTCCATAATCAAATTGTAGTAAGACAACTGGACAGCCTTTGTTACCTATGGGAACTTTCAGTGGAAGGATAAAAGCCTTGTGAGTTAAAAGCTGAGAGATAGAACTCTCCCCCAGCTCTTTTTCAAATCATGTTCAGCTATCACATACCTATTTGCAGTTAAGAAACACACAATTAAATGTAGGAACTAGACATATTTTACCGAATACAAGTTGTTTCTAGAATACCTACCACTGTTGCTTTGAAAGAGGTAAAGTTGGTTCCCAGTTCTTTCTGTCCCTGCCTCTAAGGGGCTATTCATGGGTTCTTCAAGACTGAACTACTTTGAGAGTGGTCCTTGTCTAGCTAATTTGCTCATCTTTGTCTAAAAATTTGTCACCCTCTTGGGTTAGAAATGTACGGGAGGAGTTTTTCAACTAGACTCGAAGCTGCTTGAGGGCAGGAACCATGTTTGTTTTTTTCAGCATCATGTTTCCCAGTGCCTGGTATAGAGCCTGGCACATTCTAGGTATTCAGAAAATACATTGCATTTACATTGGCTCAACAGAGAGCGTCACTGTGTTCTAGTAGTTTATCCTTTGGTTTTTAGATGAAAAAGGGCAGGCCTCATGGGTCTTACTTTTAAAAAAAAAAAAGACAAAAAAAGAGAACTTTTTTGTTATTTTTCTAATTATAAAAATAATACCTATTCATGTAGAAACTTACAAAGTACAGAAAAGCTTAAAGTAATTATCAACTATAATCTCACCACTTCAAGAACATTTTTCTGTTACCATTTTTCTATATATCTACCTGGCCTTTTATTTAGGTATATTTATATGTGTACATATGTATATATACACACCATGTTTTTACTATGTATACTCTTTTTAAATAAGATAATTTTGTACATACTGTTTCATAATCAGCCTTTTTCACTTACTATATACCATGAACTTTTTTCCATGTTTTTTTTTTTTAACATCTTTATTGGAGTATAATTGCTTTACATTGTTGTGTTAGTTGCTGCTGTATAACAAAGTGAGTCAGCTATACATATACATATATCCCCATATCCCCTCCCTCTTGCGTCTCCCTCCCACCCTCCCTATCCCACCCCTCTAGGTGGACACAAAGCACCGAGCTGATCTCCCTGTGCTATGTGGCTGCTTCCCACTAGCTAGCTATTTTACATTTGGTAGTGTATATATGTCCATGCCACTCTGTTGCTTCGTCTCAGCTTACCCTTCCCCCTCCCCATGTCCTCAAGACCATTCTCTACGTCTGCATCTTTATTCCTGTCCTGCCCCTAGGTTCTTCAGAACCTTTTTTTTTTTTTAGATTCCATATATATGTGTTGGCATATGATATTTGTTTTTCTCTTTCTGACTTACTTCACTCTGTGTGACAGTCTCTAGGTCCATCCACCTCACTACAAATAACTCAATTTCGTTTCATTTTATGGCTGAGTAATATTCCATTGTATATATATGCCACATCTTCTTTATCCATTCATCTGTCGATGGACACTTAGGTTGCTTCCATGTCCTGGCTATTGTAAATAGAGCTGCAGTGAACATTGTGGTACATGACTCTTTTTGAATTATGGTTTTCTCAGGGTATATGCCCAGTAGTGGGATTGCTGGGTCATATGGTAGTTCTATTTTTAGTTTTTTAGGGAACCTCCATACTGTTCTCCATAGTGGCTATGTCAATTTACATTCCCACCAACAGTGCAAGAGGGTTCCCTTTTCTCCACACCGTCTCCAGCATTTATTGTTTGTAGATTTTCCATGTCAATAATTATTTTTTACTCACTTTTAATAATTTTTATTTTGCTTTTAATTTTTTTATATTCTACTTTTATATTTTTACTTTTAATATTTTACTTTAACAGTATATCCATTTCAGATGCTGTTTGTTTGAAAAAAGTTAGTTTGAAGTAACACAGAGAACCCATTACAGGTGTTTGTGGTTTAATTGAGAGTTTTTTCCCCCAGTCCTCTCTTAGGAACCCCCATGTGCAAGTGTCAGGAGAAGAGTTTTCCTTTGCGGAGATTGGGAGGTGACTTTGGGCTTCATGTTGCAGTAGTGAATTGTGTTAACTGAATGTAACCTCTCCTTTCCCCAGTAAACAGTGGGGGCAAGACAGCCCTGAGTGAGGAGTTCGCACAGGTGTATTCCTTGGCAGATGGGATTCGAATATGGATGGTAAGGTTTTCCTTTGCATGTGATTTTTATATATTTTGAGTTTTCCCACCATGATATCATTGAATTAAGGTAAGTAGCTCTCTTCTCAAGAATTTAACTTTAGGAATGTTTTTCAAAACTAAAGTTCAGTGATGTGAATGGATAAAAAATAATTTAGAACCCTTGAAATCATAATTTGGTGAATGTTGAGATTGTCAGAGTAAACAGGGCTCAATTGAGCCCCCCCTTACCTCCTTCTGTAACCCAAAGGCTGCTCGGTGGAACCTAACCTTTTAGACTAGGGGGAAGAGCATTGTGTTAGATGACAGTTTTAGGCAGAGGAGAGCACTCTTTCAAAGGAGAGGGCTTTCTGCATTTTAGAAAAGTAGTTCTGCAGCATTGTTCGTGACAGCAATAAACTGGAAGAACAAAATGTCCCATTTATAGAACAGACAAAAAGATTGTATATTATGTTACTGTATAATACTGTATTACAGTGAAAGTGAATGCAGTAGAGCTGCCTGTATCAGCATGGGTGGTGCTCACAAATGTGATGATGAGCAAAAAATAGCAAGCTGTAGAAGAATGCGTAGGTATGATCCTCATGTGAAGCTTAGACATAAACTAGACCTCTCTGTTGTGTACATAAATACGTAGTAAAATTATACAAATGCATGGAAATGATAACAAATTCAGGAGAATTGTTTTTATTTCTGAGGTGTGGAGATGAGTATATATTAGTATTATTTATATATATATTTACAACCACCTTAAATATTGTATAGTAATTGAGAAAGCAATCTTAAAATAAATGAGTAGAGGCTGGTAGTAAGAGTGAAAGCAAGAGACTAGTTGTGGTAATTAGACGAGGATGGCTTCTGCTACTTGGGGGATAAGATAATTAGACTGTGTGACTGATCTGAGTGGTGAACAGGCAAATGGAATTTAGGACTGTTTCCGTGTTCCTGGTTTGGGTGACTTGGTGGTTAGGTAGAAGCATAGACCAGAATAGGAAGAATGGTCTTGGATCTGGGAGTGGGGTGCTAAGTTCAGTTTGAGACCTGTTAAGTATGAGGACATCTAGGTTATTTAAGATACCTAGCTGGAGAATTTAGTAAATGTGAAAGAATATAAATGTCAAGGCAGAGATAAGGATAACTTCAAATCATTGGTAATAGTTTTTTTTTAATGTATGAGTTTATCCAGGAACAGACAGCCTTGGACAAAATCCACAATGATTAGAACATAGCTGGTGCTCAGTGTAGACGAGATAGATAGATGGAGACCCAAATGAACAGGGACTCTCAAAAGAAACTAAAAGGTATCATCATCAGAATGGTGGCGGGTGGCTCAGAAGAGTGTGTTGACAAAGGAACCAAGGCAGAAATAGCAATTTAAGAAAGAGTGTCCGATAAA